TTTCATTGTAAACAGCCTTGATATATCCTTTGCCGGTCGTTTGTTTCCATAATATTCGCTTATGAATTTATCGCACAGGTTTCAGAAGCTTTCCACCGATCCTCTTGCCAAGTTCTTGAACCAGTTAAGCGCCGGTCTAGTAAGGCTCATAGGGAAAACTTGCACATTAGAGCATCATTTCCTGTATTCAGAGCCATCTTTTAGCTGAATATGATAAACATGTTTGATCGGATCACTTGTTCCATCCAACAAAGTAAAAATTGGGATGGAGAATTTTTTTGGATTTGGAGCATTTAAGATTTCATCGGTGAACGGTGAATCGACAATCCGAGCCGCTGCGTGGAGGGCTTCATTTTCCTTTGGGAGTATCTTTTGTTCAACAAGTTTCTTGCCTAAACTCCTGTAGTCATAAGTGGTCATTGACGGACGGTAGGTTAGATCAAACGATCTTTCCTCAATCAACTCCCTCTACCATAACGGCATAGCCTTATTGTAGCCAAACTCCATAGCTTTCTCTCGCCTGATCCTTTCTCAGTGTGGATCCAGATGGACAGATCTTTCTCGATCTTCCATATGATGGACATTCGGTGGAAAATCTTCCGGCCGGAACTCTTCGCGACCCGGATCCAGGTGAACGTTTCCTTCTTGTTCACCTTGGTGAACAACATTTGGCTGCAGAATTCTTTCTCCTGCCGGAGGCGACTATGGAATTGCCGAAGCGTCTCGTCACTCCATTCCGGCTCTCAGTTCTGCATTTTCTCTCCTTAGAGCCTCAATCAGGCTCATCAATTTGTCAAGCTTTGCGTGTTGTTCATTTTCTTGTGGATGAGAACTCTCACCTCCCATCATCATTCCTAATCGGAGTAAAGTCATCAACTGAGAAACCTTGGTCAGATCTAAACTTTACTATCGTGAATGCACCAGATCTGGCCCTTGCCTGGCCAAATTCTGATCTCCGCTGCCTAGATCTGAATCTTTTCTGCCGTGAATTCGCCTGATCTGGCCTTCGTCAATCAAGATCAAATCTCCACAAAACAGATCACGGTAACCTCAGGTCGGAGTACAATTTCTAGAAATCAAGCTTCAACTTCGCAGATTAATCTTAATCCTCCGAAAGAATGATTAATCTGATTAATCATAATCCTCCGAAAGAATGATTAATCTGATCGTAGCATACTTGATAATCAACTGGATCTTTCCTTCGCTTCCCACAGACGGAGCCATTGAAGATGCAATGAAAAATGTTCTCTCTATTTGGAAAACTAATTCCTTACACTTCAAAATATCTCAATTGTTTTTCCCTCTCTTTTCACTCTATTTATAGACTTTCACAATTATCTAGAAGTTTCTTCTAGAGTCTTCCATGTTTGACCGATCCTTTGGGCTCCTCTTGGACACTGGCCCATTTCCTTTACTTTGATATTGGGCTTAGAGATTGTCTCAATGGATATTAGGCCTGATGGGTGGTCATCCAATTGGGCTAAATGTTCTTTCTTAATCCAATCTTTAGTGATATGTGTTGTACCCAACCCAGGCCATTTTTGGTATCCTCAAAAAGAAAGGGCCTGCCATTTAAGAGAGAAAGGCAAACCTAATTAATGTCGTAGTAGAATTAACAGTTTTAGAATAGCTAGTTTATACCCTTCCCACAGATTCATGGAGGCAATGAGGCCTTAGCAATATATATATATATATATATTTCTTTTTATCAGGAAAAAATATTTAAATATATTCCAACCTATATTGGCAATAAAGATGAGTAAATCTTCTTGATGCTCGACCATAACGGGACAATCCAAGAACAAAAATGTTCAATGATCTCTAAAGCTAAACCACATCTCTGACCTACTTCCTCTTAGACAATACCACTCCTTTTCAAATGCAGCACCTCCTCTTTTGCTTGAATTCTCCACAGCTTACCCAAAAGCTTTAGATGTTGTTCTCAAACAAGAAACTTCCCATATGTGGTAAAATGTCATTCTTACCCTTTGTTAGATCAGGGGATCTTTTCAATTCTTTGACAGTCTTCCCAACTATTGTTGGATAAGCTGCATATTCATTGTTGTCTATGTTAAAATTGTCTCACCATAAAAAGATCGTATTAAAATAAAATTATACGATCTGGTCAAAGATGATAACGGACCATTACTCGCATAGTCTATTCTGAGTTGAAATTAAGTAATCTATCTGATTAAAGGAGAACATAAAAGAAAATGGCAAATGCAGAGACAGATTATCATCATCCTTATTGTGATCTGCTGACTCGGACATGGTTATCAAGAATAGTTTATGCATATCAACTTTATTCTCTTTGGACTTTTTCCTTTCTGGTGTGTTTTGTTGGTCACTTATATAAGATATAGTTTGTTGGTCACTTATAATATATAAGATACAGGTTTATTACTCTTAGAGAATGCAGTGTGTATTAGTTCAGACAGTCACAATGTAAATGAGAACAAATGAAATTATCAAAAACTGAATAGAAGAATATAAAAAGGAGGAATGAAAAAAATTAAAAGATTTGTTAGAAATGTAAACCATTTTCATTCCAATATCTTGCTACTCCCATGTAATAGCATTACACCATATAATCAATGTTACATCCAAAGATTTGTATATCAAACATTAAATTTCTCGTCATACATACATTTGTATATCAAAGTTCAAACATTGAATTTCTAGTCATTCGAGTACTAAGGAATTGGAGTAATCAAACTAAATATTATTGTTCCTATTTCATTATTAGGTTTCCTCCAATATTTCAAGAATATATAATGCTCAACTAAATTCATTAAATAATGCTGTTTTTTGCCACCCATCTCAAAACGAAGCAGTCCTTTTAGTAATATGCTACTTGCAAAGAAGCAAGTCAATTCCTCTCATTTGTTGTCACGTTCATTTTATTATGCTTTTTGCACATGAATCAGGTATGAATGTCATTAGCATGCCGACCTTGCTCATTCATACCAAATCTTTGTACATTTTGACAAGCATGCTTGCCCAACTGACATTTCATATAAATTATATATAGATATTGTAAAATGGCAAATGAGGATCTTTCAACAAAAATATGAGGTTTTAACATGGTTAAAGAAAATAAAGAAACAACTACTAGTACTTTTATTCAATTTTTAACATACAAATATAAAATATAAAATTAATGAACATTCTACTAACAAAATCCAATGGTATATTGCCTACTGTAAAATATTTTTGCAATTACCAAATTAGTTCCAGAATTACAAAAATCTTTCCGTCTGTACCAACCACACACAAAATCTCTCAACTTCAGTCATCACAACTTCAATTACCTTTACCTATTAAAAAAAGAAAAATAAAAAACAAGTCCTGTTTTTTATTTAAGAGATGGTATTCCTTAATTGATAGTTTTTCCTATTCGATAAGCATAAGCTCCGTAAATCACATTCATTACTGTCACCTTTGACGAGTTTTGAATTAGCGCCCCAAGTGTACAAAATCCAAAGAGCTACAAGCCAAGTTACCCGTGCAGGCTGAGCTATTTCTTGATTTGTTTCCAACATTATGTTGTACCTTGTAGTGCATATGAAACATTTTTACTTCAAGAATCTAATATATTTACTTTCAAGTAATGGGTGTTACGTCTTCTAAGTGACGGTGTTGCATTTTTGAAATAATGGAGATACAGACGAATATCTAAGGATTCATTAAAGTCCTCGTAGCCACCGCCACTCCCAATCATCCCTGATCTACTCTCACCATCTCTCTTCTGCGTTCACAGCCAGTGACCTAATCCACTCCCAACAGCTAGAGTTCTCACAAAAATAGGGTAAGCTGGATTCCTCTATATGTATAGATTCATAGAGAGAACTTTTTTTAGTTAGTTGGAAAGTTTGTCCAGAACTAGAAGACATCTCGAAGTATATATAAATTGGAAGTTAAACCTCTTCAACAAAACATAAAATACCAGCTAAACTACTTAAAATACCAGTTGAAGCAAGCAAGGTTACACTGGTACAAATTAAGTTTTATTCAACTGGTACAATAGTGTTCTGAACAAATTTTACCTGGCTTAAGTGTCGCTCAAACCATCTATGTTCAGGCATGTCTTCATAACAATCAATCCACACTTTGGTTTTGAACTCCTCCCTATTCATATAAACAAAAATTACAACTCATGAAATCCAGGTTTTGATTACGAAAATATTCTAATACACAAATAATTATTGAATTACTAAAATTTCAAATCATTTTGAAATTTAGAGCACCTTAAGGCAGCTAGTGTAAGAGAACAACTACTCCACTTTAAAGAGCTAAAATGTGATGTTAGGCACCAAATAGAAAGAAATTAAAATACATCTTAATGTCATCAAAACTTGATAAAGAGAATCTGATCACATGTATATATCTTGGTTTCAAGGAAAGGGGCGAAGAAAAACACTGGTATTTTCATATCTTGTCTCAGGGTAATGCATACACATTGAAATCTACACACAATCAAACAAAAGCAATTGCATTGGAGGAATAAGTACCCAACAATTCCATAAATGATTGTACTTATTTATCTATATGATTTTTTTTGAGAGTCAATTCGTTTGACCAGGTGCAGCTGTGTTGTGTGCCACTTTTCTCACTTACTATCCAATGAATCGTATGATGCTTGCTTGACATTTGGCCTTAAATTGCAAAATTAAGAAAGAAGTTCAGGTATAAAAACCAAGGCATAAAGTCAAAATGCATTAATATTTGATACATGTATGTGGATTAATTCACCAGCAACAAAATGTGCGAGAATGAACAAATCATGAAATAAGCATCTCAATATAATGGAGATAAAGAAAACATGATTGATGATGGCTCACAGGTTCATGAAGCATGGAACTATATAAGAACTCCAACCACAAATTTAAGTCCTTATTTCATCCATCATTTCTACCACTCTAAACTACAAAATTTGCTAATATTCTCTTGTATTGTCACAGGGATCCACATTCTGTGTCTTTTGTCCAGCACAATGCGCCTCAAGGTCCGGCATCCGAGCACCATCTCTTGCAAATCCTCCCCGCTAAACTTGTAACAAGAAGCCAACACAAGTGATTCCAAAGACCTATGATTTGCAAAGGCACGAATGCCATCACCCGCGTTATTGATTCACAACCCCTCAGTCCAATGTACACCAAATTTGGGCAGTTCTGAGCAAGAGCAATGAGTGTAGCATCCGATATGTTAATCAACCACGAAAAGGACAATCTCTTGAGAGTTTGAATTGCAGCAATCGCCACACCCCCGGTGTTAGTCACATCCAATCCACAGTTTGCCAGATTCAACTCCTCCAAACAACACATTTCTCTCAAATGCAATAACCCATCATCTGTAATTCGATTACACTCTGCAATATCTAATTCTCGTAGAGTCCTAGACAGAGACCCACTGGCCAACAAAGCCAAACCCGTATTTGTAATTAACCAACAGCCTCGCAAAATCAAAACCTGCAATGATCTTGCATTCCCGATAGCTTTAAGGGCTTCATCTGCAATCCTAATGCAACCAGTCAAATCCAAAGTTGTCAAATTTGGCACCAAATCAACAAGAGAAATGACTCCGAAATTCCCAACTTGGCATCTCCTCCTCAGATACACTTCAGCTAAGTTGGGACACCCATTTATCATCCCAACCCGGTATACCATGTGTTTTTTGGTAGTTAAGATTGAGAACTTCAATGTTGGGACAAGTTTTGGCTATGAATTTGATGTGGGTATTGGTGATCACTATTGATGATTCCAATGAGACTAAGTTAGGGAATCTGGGTAAGAAATTAGGAAGAAGATTGGGTTCGAAACCCGTAAAGATGATCGGTGAAGACCCTCGACTCTGGACCATTGCTTGCGGACTTTGGAGAATGATTTTCCGTCATTAGGGTTTTCAACCCATTTCAGAACTAAGCCCAGCACATCATCACCGAATCTTTCCATGACCAAATTGTGTTATTGGAACAGGAAATGGAACCCTGATTTCTCTGTAAGACAACAGCAAAAGAAAAGCTGCTAAGACAATAATAACAATTATGAACAAAAACTCTTTGCAAATTCTAACAAGAAAACGAAAAAAGGTGTCTTTGACTTGGAGATCAATAGCCGAGCGTTTTGAGTTTGATATTTATATAAAAAGGAGAGAAAAATGTTCGGTAAATTATAGGAACATCTCCTATGATTTGTCATAACTGCTTAGACTTTTTTTTTTCTTTTAGTTTGAAAATTTATACAAACTACTTTTAAAAGTAAAACTAATTTACACGGTATTCTCTTTTATTAGAGTGAACGTCGGCGACAAATTGTGTTGACTTCATGTATTTAATATACTAAAATTCCTTATTTACTTTTAATTGAAGTTAAGGGTGACAATTCGTATTCCTGTCGATATAAGGTTATTATACTAAATAGGTAAATTCAAACCTAACCTATTTAATAATCGTGTCAAGAATTCTCAATATTAACTCAACTCGTTTATTAAATACGTTTAATAACATGTTTATCAAAACGAGACATTTAATATTTAATCAAATACTAAATAATAATAAAAAATTGTCATAATTAACACAAATATTCAAAATAAAAAGAAAGACAAAATTTATGTTGAAATGACTTAATTATCCATAATAATTAAGTTTAAATAGGTAATATATAACCTAGATTATATTCACGATTATAACAAGTTGAGTTAAATGGGTCATAAACGGGTTACACGGGTTGAACTCCTTAACCCTAACCCGACACCGTTAAGTAAATGGATTTAATCGTGTCGACCCTTTTAGGACTCAAACCTGTTTATGTCAAATCTAAATTCTTTTAACTCGTGTCGTGTTATCGTGTCGTATCATGTCATAATTTGTCACTCCTACTTAAAGTGTGTATATATATATAACCTACCAAAAAAATAAAAATAAAAAAAGACATGTCATCACAATTACTATTCTCCAGCAATAGAACGACATGGACTTGTTCGATTGTGAAGAAGATGCCGAGCACTGTCTGAAAGGCGTGCAGGCTGCAAGGAACAGTAAACTCCGAACGGCGTGAATGTATTTCGGTGACTGTGAGGTTTGGGATATGCTGGAGGCGCACCAGAACAGCGTTGGATCCTGCACAATATTGGGGTTTGAGAAAAGAGAGGGCAGTGTACGAATCAAAGGAATTAGGAATTGCTGCTCCTCTACAATGGTGTGCCTGCTAGGATTAACGCCGCCGTCTTCGGCGGTGTATGAATCGGAGGAGCGAGGATCTATCTCCACTCCGCCGTTTTTGTATCGTAAAAAAACTCTCAAGCGAAATCCCTAACCCAAACCCAAATCACCATCGCCACCAATTTCCCTTACGAAATCCTTGCAACCTCCAACCCAAATCATCACCAATTCTTCACAATTCCTCTCTCATCCCCTAACTCAAATCACTGTCACTGTCGTCTGCAAAACCCTGGGTATGATTGAGATGGAGAAGACCGCCATCAATTTCCCTTACGAAATCCCTGCAACCTCCAACTCAAATCACCACCAATTTTTCACAATTCCTCTCTCATCCTGTAACTCAAATAACAGGAGAAGGATTTAGAAATTCATATGAGGGAGGAAAATTTATATAAAGGGGTTTTTTTATAATTTTAATGAGGGCAATTTTATAGGTAGAAATGTAAAAAAATATAAATTTAAGGATGTAAAATGTAATAACAAAAAATTTTAGTGGGGGGCGGATTCTCCTACAGAGCCCACAGTATATCCGTGCCTGACCACCACCATCGTCTGCAAAACCTTGGGTATGTATGATTGAGATGTGCCTGACCACCACCATCGTGTGCAAAACCTTGGGTATGTATGATTGAGATGGAGAAGGAAGCCTTTATATTATCCAATCAAAAAAACCCATTTGGTTATGACTGAGATAGAGATCCAGTGGTTTGGTACTTGGTAATGGAGCGAAAATGCGGTGGTGGTAAAGTGTGGAAGGAGATGGTCGTGGTGGTGGGATGGCGATGGTAGGTGGAGCTGAGAGAGAGAGAATGAAGGGAAGAAGAGAGAGGAATATATATATATATATATATATATATATATATAAAAGAATGTGGATAGTGCAGTGATTTGCTATAATAATTTGAGGGTATTTTAGTAAATTAAAGAAGGAAGGAAGGAAGATTCGTTTAGTTTCATTTTTAAAGAAGTCCGTGTAAATTCTCAAACCAAATGAGAAGCCTTCGTAATTATAACAAACTATATACGAGATCCGTCTAATTTATTCAAAATTTTATATTAAACATGTTGAAAGTGCTATTTTTGGACACAATTGTGCTATATTAATTTAATTTACCTTTTTTTTTTTTAAGACTTTTTTATCTCATTAATTTACTTACATTTTATTATTATTTTAAGACTTTTTTTTTATCTCATTAATTAAATTTTATTTTTTATTTTATTTATTTATTTATTTTTCTCCTGTCAACGATGGTATTGGACCTCTTAGCCGAACACCATATGATATACTCCCTATCTCACATGTATTGGGAAAATTCATTGGCGATATTCCATTACATGTATCACATACTAAGTCACACAATCCTTCTCTACTAGTATCGTTCTTACACTCCGAGCGCGCTCCTGGTCTTACGCTCTGCTCACACTCAGACTCAAATTCTCACTATTTATGACTTAATTCTACCGCTCTCATGCTATAACTCTCGAATTCGCTCTCGCTCCCGCTTTATGTGACTTAGATCACATATATAATGGATTTCTAACATAAATTTTATTTATGGATGCAATGAATAAGATTTAATAAGAGACCTACTGAATATTGAGTTTTTGAAAAACATTGAAGAGATGTGTTGGTTTATATGTAGGTGTGTGCAAAAAAATCGTCAATTCGAAAAATCAAATCAAACCGAACTGAATCGGGCAGGCTGGGCAGTTCCACAGCGGTTCGGTCTGGTCTCGGTTTTAAAATAATGGAATCATGAATTTTTGGTTTGGTCCCGAATTAAGGTCCTACAGGACCGGACCGGCCCAGACCGAACCGTTATAATATATATACAAATATATGTTATATTATTATTATTATTATTATTATTATTATTATTATTATATATATATATATATAGCTATACGTATATATTACTCTTAACTTTAAAAAGGATTTCAGCACAAAGATCAAACAGGAGCCAACATTCATCATTATCTGATTTTTTTTTATTTGTTTTTGCTTCTAATGTTTTGATTTTTGGGTACATGCCAACATTCTTCCACTATCTCATTTTTTTTTCTTTGCTTACGTTGCCTCATTCACTTCTTAGTTCTAATCGCCGCGGGATCCAATTGTTGACCAATCTCTCTCAAGCAACCTTCGAAGTTCGGTCATCGCCGTCTATCTCTTATTGCTGCCATCGGTGACATCCTCTTTCTCACACTCTCACCCTTTCTCTCTCACTTCTAGTTTACAAATCTCTAAGTCTCACGGCGTGTTTGCGCCTCAAGCACAACCAACAACCACAACGAATCAAGTTTCTTAGTTTTCAACCACGAATTTGTCATTTTTTTCAATTTCAGTAAGATTCAACCTTATTTTAATTTCACCCACTTTCCCCTCTCTCTTTTTCTCTCTATTTTAGTCTTGGATTTGGGAATGTGAATGTTTTTATTGATAATTTTGTTGTATATACAATTCAAGGAAAAACAAAAACAAAAAAACGAAATAAAATTCAACTAGAACCGTGGAACCGAACCGAACTGTTTTTTCACGATTCGGGATGCTTTGGTTCCATGGCTCAAATGGTCTGTTTCGGTTTCAGATTTTCTGGAATCGTGGGAAGCAGTTTGGTTCCAAAAATCTTCAAAATCAGACCAAACCGGATCGTGTTCACCCCTATTATATGTGTATATATATTTTTTCTCACTATTTTAACCAAATTAAAAAATACATAATGGTAAAAAGCACATTCCCGTCATAGTATTAGGAATTACAAGCTGCTATTAGAGTTAAATGACAACAAACTCAGCCGCTCAAAGTAGAGATCTGTTATTTTCCGTATGCGCTAAAATGAGAAAATGTTTTGCATGAATCAAATTCTTTCTTCCGGATGGTATTGAATCGTAAACCCACACTTCTTTCAATTTCCTCCAATATTTCAAAATAAAATATCAAATTCATTTATGAAAATTAAAATATTATTATAACATATTATTCTCTGCAAACCATTTCAAAAATAAGCCAACCGACTCATAACATAGAATAAGCAACCGCAGCTATAAATGTGGAGTTAACACATATAGCGTGAGAATGTCTAACATGCACATTGTGTTACCACAACGAACCAATTACATTCTAATATTCATGCATGGTTTACGTGAAAACTTTGTATGAACTAGCTTAAAATTAATAAGCACCAAGTCTTTCAGCAAAGTTAAAAGTTAAGGAAATTTAGGAATGCAATGACAAAGTGATCTAAAGAGTTGTAAAGAAGTTTATATTTGAAACAAACCGGGTTAAGCTTGAATGGCATTTTCAGTTTGCTCACTGAAGAAGTAAGCTGAAACGAGTTAAGACTGTGAAAGGGGTCTGTGAATAAGGCTTCAAGATAGTAACCAAAAAAAATACTTGACTCAATTCCAATCAGTTCGGAACCAAAATTTGAACTCAAGATTGACTAGAGATCCTAAACAAGCCGAGCAGAAACCTATCCGAACAAGCAGCCTAATCAATCAATGACCACCTGCTGCAGCACCTTCTACAATAACGTTACCCCTCTTTTTACTAATTACAATACTCATGCAAGGTATTCAGACATTTGTGAAGGCGGTTCAAGACAATTGCAGGTGCATATGAGGTACATGCCTCAGACATCTCAAAAACTATGATATGGTCTGAATATATGACCAAATTGTGCAACTATGAGAAACAATGCTGGAAATGCAAGCATCCTATGCCGCCAATTTTCTTACTTAGTTTCTTGCAGTTGAATTGAGACACTCCTTGATAATCTCTCCAATCCTTCTCTTCATTAGCTTATCTTTAACACCAGCAAGCATGCGGTAAAACATCTCTAGACGGATCAGCTTGTCTGCTGACTAAGATGGTGTCCCTGCTGACTCTAACATGTTGTCCCATTCTTTAACAAAATCGAAAGTACCTGAGTTCTGCAATGAGATTGGAATATTTCGTTCTTCGAAGGGTTTTCCAAAAGTTAAACCATGGAGTATGCTAGCATTGCGTTTAACCATGAAAGTTTTGAATGGAGAAGAGTTATCTCCTCCACTGCCATAGACAATCTTTTATCCATCTCTGTGATTTCTTCAGGATCCTTTTCTTCACCCTTTGTGACTCCAGGAACAATGTCTTTTCCCTCTTCCTTGATATCCTCTGATAGTGGGTGCCACAACACAATACTTGGAGTAAAACAATCAACTACCTTACCATTTCTAAGGACCCACTCATTCCCCTGCCCCTAGACCAAAGCATGTATGATTGTATCCATCCTCTGCAAGAAGAACAGTATGGGCAGCACCACATGCAACTTGAACTGGCCTTGGAAATTTCGGTCCATGCATCCCACATGAAATCAAGAGAGGAGAAACAGCATCTTCAGCATCAGTTCCAGTAAACCTGGCATCAGGGCATAGGCCGAGGCCCTTTTCCATTCCCCAGGACCACAGGCCGCTGTCCAATGAAGTGACACTCGTGTGAAATAAGCCACAGTCGACAGATATCAGAGTATTCTTTCACAGGTTCAGGTAACAAAGAACTATTGGTGGTTCCATGACCAAGCTGTCCATTATCCCCAAGGCCAAATGTCCAGTAAGCACTTCCCAATGTGTCACTTTTACTCTTTTTGTGAGCAAGTATAGCCGTACGAAATGCTCCGAATGCAACCTCATAAGCTGTCCAAGGAAATTTCTGGTTAAAATGTTCAATGACTTCAGGATGCAACCTGCTTGCCTTATCTCCCAAGCCTAATTGGCCATGATTGTTGTTACCCCAAAAGTAGCATACAAGATCACCGCCTTTATATGTCTCTCCAGCAGGTAACCAAAGCTACAACATGCTCATTTCCACATGACACTTTAACAACAGCGTGACCATGGAAATTCAAGGCAGGCAAGGGAGCAAAACCATCTTCACTAGAGCTGTTTCGCTGAGGGCAATTGCCTCACATCCAGGGAGCCCCAAGATTATCGATTGCCAGTGACATCATTCCTCCAGCTTTGACTGAAGAATCCTGAGCTAAAAGTTAATATGGCAACTAAAATATGTACAGAGTGATACTAATGAGACCTAATATAGACCTATGCTTGGCCAGGTCGTTTTCAGCACAAAAAGTGAGGCAGTTCTATTTGAAAACTAGAAGTAACATAATTTGTTCTGTGCCTTACAATGGTGCCTTACTCTTCATTTCTGGGTCATCTGTCAAAGAATCCGTTAGACGGGCACCAAACTGATCCATCATCTCCCAAAAAAAAAAAAAAAAAAGCATTCACCAACTGCCAATTAATTCATAGCATATAGTCAAAGTGCATAAATACATATATGTGGATTAATTCACAAGCAAGAAAATGTGAGAGCAAGAACAAATCATGATATCAGCAGCTCAACATAATGGAGATTAAGAAAACCTGATTGATGATTGCTCACAGGTTCATGAAGCATACACAAATTTAAGTCCTTATTTCATTCATCACTTCCACTCTAACTGACAAAGTTTGCTAATATTGTCTTGCATTGTCATAGGGATCCATGTTCTCAGTCTTATGTCCAGCACAATGTACCTCAAGGTCCGGCATCCAAGCACCATATGTTGCAGATCATCCCCATTCAAGTTGTGACAAGAAGCCAACACAAGCGATTCCAAAGACTCATGATTTGCCAAGGCACGAATTCCATCACCCGTTACTGATTCACAGCCCGTCAGATCAACCGCTACCAAATTCAGGCAGTTCTGAGCAAGAGCAACAAGTGTAGCATCTGATATGTTAATCAACCATTGTAAGTTCAACCTCTTGAGAGTTTGAATTGCAGCAATCGCCACACCTCCGGTGTCAGTCACTTTCGCTCCACAGTCTGCTACATTCAATTCCTCCAAACAACACATTTCCCTCAAGTGCAATACCCCAAAATCTGTAATTCGATCACACTCTGCAATGACCAATTTTCGCAGACTCCTAGAGACAGACCCACTTGCCAAAAAAGCCAAACCCCTATCTGTGATTAACCAACAACCTCGCAAATTCAAAACCTGCAATGAATTTGCATTCCCAATAGCTTTAAGGGATTCGTCTGCAATCCTATTGCATCGACCCAAATCCAAACTTGTCAAATTTCGAGCCAAATTAACAAGCGAAATGACTCCAAAATTCCCAACTTGACATCTCCTCCTTAGATACAGTTCAGCTAAATTGGGACACCCAATTGCTATCTCACATATACCATAACCATCAACATCATCCAAATCCGGTATATCATCGAACCCATCATGTGTTTCTTTGTAGTTGAGATTGAGAACTTCAATGTTGGGACAAGTTTTGGCGATGAATTTGATATGGGCATTGGTGATCACTATTGATGATTCCAATGAGACTAAGTTTGGGAATCTGGGTAAGAAATTAGGAAGAAGATTGGGTTCGAAAACCCGTAAAGATAATCGGTGAAGACCCTCGACTCTGGACCATTGCTTGCAGACTTCAGAGAATGATTTCCTGTCATTAGGGTTTTCAACCCATTTCAGAATTAAACCCAGCACATCATCACCGAATCTTTCCATGACCCAACTGTGTTCTCTGAACAGGAAATTATACCCTAATTTCTCTGTAACACAGAAAGAAAATTAATAATAATGATAAAGAAAAACTCTAGTAAATAATAACAAGAAACGAAAAAAAAAAAAAAAGTGGCTAGAGAGGTCTTGGAGATCAATAGCCAAAAAGGGTTTTGAGTTTTAGGTTTTATATAAAGAGAGAGAAATTATACTATAGTATTTGGTAGTGCTGGGTTCGATTCTCTACCTCGTTCTCAAAAAATCATATTGTATTGTTTTAAATATATACAGTAGTACTTCACATGTTGGAAGACTATTTTTGGACCAGTGACTTCAAGTCACCATTGTGCAATGTTAATGATAAATGGGATGTGACAAACTGGCAAGTCTTCCGCCAGACAAAGTGGATGCGTAAGTTATGTGCGTGGTACGTATTTTTTTTTTTTTAATTAAAAATAAAAATTGATATTTTTGTGTGGCTCTCTTTTGCACATATGAAGTTGTTTTAAAGAATATGGTGGTGGTCTACCATATTCTAAAGCATATTTATTATTATTATTATTATTATTATTATTATTTTAATTTTTTTACTTTGGCAATTGCTAATGGGGCAAGGTTTAGGTAGTTAAATGTTAAAGGAAAAGAAAAATAATATTAGTGAAATTTGAATTTGAATCATAAATTCAAAATAATACATGTCCTAGTGCCACACCCGTTTTCAAAATTTACTAAAGGGTATTTTTTCATTTCATATTAGTAATTTATTTTTATTTTTTTACATATCCCAAATTAGATGTACTCTTTTAAAAAGTCAAAACAAATAAATTTTATATTTTCATCATTATTCTTTATCTTTTTAAAAAAATTTAAACTTTGTAATTATATATATTTAAATTAGAAGGGATAAATTGATAATTTTAAAAAGGGACAATGCATTAAATACATGTCCCCTTAAAAACTCTTATTTCTAAAAATGAATCTACAACGTGGGGCGAAAATAATACTTATTAGTAATTCTTTTTCGCGATAGTTACTCTTAATGCATTTTTTTCTTCAAAATTTCTATTTTTAAAAATGAATTTCTAATATAAGTCGAAAGTAGTACTTATTAGTAATTCTTTTTTCGCACTCTTTTAAGACTTCACATCTTTGATACAATTTCCAATGCACACTTGGACAGTTAGATGGAGAGATTATAGTCGGTGATGAAGTAGCTTTATAGTGTTACAAACTATCATGTCATTGACCAATGTGGTAAAAATGTTTCGGGTCGGGTAGTTCGAGTCCAGGAATATGTACCTAATTTTTTTTATAAAAAAAGTTTTTATAATTAACATTAAAAGGTTTTTATGATCAACATTACAGTGATTACAACACCTCCCAAATTTAACATTTCGGTCGATTTTATCCTTTCAGGAATCGGATACTATCATCAGGTTAGAAATTTCTCGCATTGATTGATAAGCTGTCAAATATAAAATAAACATTAATGTTTAATTTTTTTAAAGGGACGGGTTTCACACCTCTTTCGCAAGTATACTTTTATTTAATATCTGCAATTATTTTTAAATGATAAATATCAGATACCTAAAAAATAAAATTTTAAAATATCTAGAAATTGAAAACAAAGATACTTAAAAATATGCAAACTTAACTATCTCATGAATAAATTGACTTGAATTTTATTTAAATAAGAAATAACTGAGACACTTTTGTAATTGTAGTATTGTTTTTTTTTTTTTTTTTAAATAATAATACATTGCATGAACAAAGCACTGTCCAAATCATTGGATATTGGGCAAATTGTCACTGTAGCCCAATATTTTTGGTTCATTTTGTGATGAATCATACAACGGTGAGAATATTGGTGTACACATGGTTGGAGAGGATAATAATTGTTTTAATCTTTTTTTTTATTTTTTTTTTAACTCTATAGACTTTGAATGAAAAGCAGAAAGCACACCCACTCGCTCACAGTGTCTTCTAACATTTTTATTTTTATAAATTTCAAACTTTCTTTATTATTAAATATGTTGAATGATTGAATATATATAAATTCTAAAATCTATAAAGAAAAAGAGTTTATAAAAGGGAAAGTTGAATTCAACACACTTTAATCTCAATTTCAACAAATTATTTTAAAATTATAAATATTAGAATTCGACATAATTAAATCTCCGTTTCAACACATTAATTTCGCTAAATTAGATTGAATGTTAGCGCAATGTATACAAAAATAATACTCTTCAAATAAAAATAGACTTTAGTATTTTTTAAATCATTTTCAATTTTCTTGTTTTTTATTGTCTTGAAAATACAATTATTAATTTTAAAAAATTATAATAATGATGGATTTAGAAAGGTTTAATATATATTTCCTAACATTCAATAATTAATTTTTTTTATAGAACTCCGTTTAGATGCAATCATATATTTATCTTAGCTTATATATATATATATATATATATATATATATATATATTCCACTCAATCAGCAAAATTCAAAACAAATACAATGAATCTCATTAAAAATCCTCAAATTGTGAACTATAGGGTAAATTTGTTCTTTGAACCATATAAAAAAATGATAATAATTTGTTTTTGTTCCCCATTTGCTAGTAGTGGTTGGGACTGCACCGTATGCACCATCTATCCCATTCGTAACTTTTAATTTCCTCCATTATTTCAAACTTATAATAAGATAATCATTATAATGAGATAATGCAATTTATTTATGAAAGTTAAAATATCATTATAATAAATTCTCATCTGTTAACCATTTCAAAAATAAGCCAGTCACTCGTACCCTAGAATACGCAAAGGCCCCAACCATAAGGCTTCGTTTAGATACGGAAGAGAGAAAAGAAAAGAAAGAATTAAAAGAGAAAAGAAATAAAAGAAAATGATAACTATAATGTTTGGATAGATGGGAGAGAAAAGAAAGGAAAGCATAATATTTTTATTTGGATAAAACAGAGGAGAGAAAAGAAAATAAAGGATAATAATAAAATTACTGTATTACCCTTTTGTAGATTTTGATAAATAATATATGTATGTATGTAAGATTTTTATACCACATTTTCTATCTCTTCATAAACAGCAGCCTCATGATACAAGAAACCTATTCGCGTGTGGACATAAAAAATTAAAAAATTGAAAAAACCTGCATTGCAAAGCTTTGAAGAGATTGGAAGGCAAGTCAATTAATGAGATACAAAGCTCGGATAAATAAATTGATTGCAGCAAGAAGGATGTAATAACCATACCAGCCATATTATATATATAATAAATTGATTATACACACATACTATTAGGATATGTGTACCCTAGCATAGTAAATTCTAATTTTGGATTGTAAAAGTCATGGTTCCTTATCTAAATATTATTATTAAAGCATTATACAATTGGTGAGTGGAATGTATTATTTTTCGATTCATTATGGAATTGATTGTGTCCACTTGATTATAAGATATATTTATATATGTATGTAATGGAAATTAATACTATGTTATAAATTAGTAATCATAAATGATTCAAAGTCGGTAATTATGGATGGACATTTAATTAGTTAAGACTTGAACCGAGTCCACGATAGATTGAGATATATTGCGAGAGCTGTCGTATGTAATTGCTCTTTATCACAGTCATGGCTTTCGACTCTCAAGCATGAGAGAAGTATAGACTCTTTTATTAATTAATAATTACTTTGATTTGTTCGGCGGATACCTTGGGATCCTTAGATCGACACTTTGGGTAGTTATGTAATTAATAGTTAGAGATTTATATTCTCAATATTTGCATCAGTGCTATTTGTATTTATTTTGTTTTGATTATGGCTGATCACAAATTAAATTCGAAGGCCTTCGTATGTTTTAGACAAATGTTTTCTATATATATTTATTTAGTAAATTATTATTTTTGTCAAATAAATATTTTATTGTGATCGAGCCGGAAATAACCAAAGGTAACAAAATAATTATATTAATTATATTGTCGGATTGATGGCTTTAATTATCCGATAAATAATTAAGCATAGAGGGGTCAAAGTGCAACATTAACTTAGAGGTTATTTACTATTTAATTGGAGTGCAATTAATTTTTTTTCGTGGAGTAGAAATTAATTTATGACTTAATTGAATTGAGTCTATGGTTTAATGGACCGGACCAATTATTAATTTATAGGAGCCAAGAAAATAGTAAGCCCAAAAAGATTCTCACCAATAGCCCAAGTTGATATTGGAATTCTGTTAGAATTGAGAAAGTTGATTTAGAGATGAAGAATGATTTATTATTTCCTTATTTTTATTTTTATTTTGCCTATATATACATGGGTCCATGCATATTTTAGGGGTGACTTTGGGAACAAGAAAAAGGAATACATTTTCTCTCTCTAGATTTTAGGGTTTTGTTTTCTCTTCTAAAGGATGCTACCACAAGCCTAGATTCCAAGGTCATTCATCAAGGTATATTGGTAATTCCTAAAGGGAAGATTATAATCAAGAAGAAGGAGAAAGGATCTTGTTAAAAGGAATTTACAATAAGTGAGAACATTCACTTTAGAGGAAAGATTAAAAGGTTTACTCAGACTTTTGATGTAAGTATTTAATCTGTTTATTGAATTATACATCATCTTTTATTTGTCTTTGTATAAAACTTGTCTCTATGTGATGAATCAAGATCCATGATTGCAAATCCCTCAAAAGTTTTTAAAAACTTGCACGTTTCCCAACAGTGGTATCAGAGCCATGGTTTGATTCATTACTAGAGATCATGTGTTTATAAAAAACCATATTCATGGATCCAAATTATAGATACATATATAGAATTATTGATATATGTTGATGTATGATTTATTATGTTGATATATATTAATACATGATAATGTATGTATAATTGTGAATGGATGATGATATATGTTTGGGTCATGGATGAAGCTTATAGGTATATAGAATGTAATTTTATCTTTGGATGAATGTAATTAAGGCTTTGTTTTAGCCGTTTGAAAAGTCAATGATGTAATTTAATTTTTTCCATTGTATTTCAAATTGTAAGTATTTATTAAAGCCATGTAATATTCATCAAAGGATGCTATGAAGCTTCAAGAGGGTCCGAAAGGGTTAAATTATGCTTCAGTAATTTTCTGGAATTTTTCCTAATTTTTCAGAATTTTTCTGGAATTTTTTGAGGCTTAATTTAATTTTCTGGGAATTTTTCGGATTTTCTGGAATTTTTCCGGCGTTTTTCCGATGGCCGGAGCTTCGTCGGCGGCGAGAAGGGGCGTCGGAGGAGGCACGGATCAGATGTGGCGCAGTAGGTGAGCCTGGCGCGTGTTCCATACGCGCCAGGAGTTGGCTGGTTCAAGACATGCCGGGGCGTGCATTGC